ATACTTGTTACATTTAAGCAAAGCATTTAACTTTCTAGCTCCTTATTCACATTAAGAATCTTTTTGAAACGAACAGATGTGTTAAGCTTAAAAGGTGCAATACAAAGGATGTCTACCACCAAATGGAAGAGTTACCATTAAGAACGTAATTATTATCATTAAGCGACCATTCAAAGGTTATCATATAAATGTATAACTACAGTTGTTTTCAAAAAGCATTGCTATTTCAAGTAGTATTAACAGATGACATTTCTGACCCTATCTTATTAATTTCAGGAACTTTTTGCAAAGAAAGGTGTGAGAATGCTTACACTTAATCTGCTATCAAAGAAAGGTGGCTAGGTGGACCAATAAGTAAGGGAACTCTTGCTTCTTGCAAATAGTTCAGAATGTCATTAATGAAGTCTGAGACAAAGAAGCAACAAGAACCCTTTGTTGAGAACCTGATACATCTTTCCAGGTAACTATTACTTTGCAGGCATGCTCCAGTGACAAAAGCCATTTGGATGAAGTGTGGCAAGACAAGAACGACATCGAGTTCTGAGACCTGTTTCCTCATTAACCGGTAAAGATGACCTAGATATAAAAATTGCATTAGACAGGTTTACTGAAATCTTCATATCAACTTCACTTTTTACCTACGTTGAAACCCTTGGAACTGAAAGAACATGCAATAGCACAGGTCAGTCTGCCTAGCTGTGCTACCAGAAATATTTTTGATAGAGACTATGAACAGCATTTATATAAAGTGCAGAAATTCTGATACTGTTTATTGATATCCAAAACAAAATGGAGCTATTTTGATAACTGACAGTTCTGAGAGATGGCTTCTAGGACCTTTCTGAGTCAAGTAAAAGCACCTGGATGCACCAGAATAACTGGGAAGAGGGCACCTACACAACTGTAAGTAACAACGTAGCTACTCAAAACGGAGGTAGAGGGGCCATTAGGAAAACAAGTATTTAGGAAGCACTGTGAGACTCTCTATCACTTCAGACAATGTTTTGTATGACCATATGTGTAATGCTGCAATCTTCTGTAATTTAGGAAGAACTCTGTGTTATCAACAAATGAGAAATTGAATTTTGAACACTGTATGTGATTGTTAGCACTTCGAAGGACTGGAAGAATGCTTTTACAAAATAAAATCCTTATGACAGTTATAACAAACATGACAGGAGCAAAAATTGTCTGTTATTCTGCAGACAATAACTGGAAGTATAATACTTGCAAAGAGGTGGAAGTTAAAAATAAAAATAAAATATAACAGAGAGCTGGTACGTACATATGTGTAAGTATACACACCCTCACCAGGTATAGCCAGGTTTTAAATCACACAGGTGTATTCAGAAGCTAGTTATGCAAGTGTTAATGGAATGATGTTACAGCTGTTCATTTATGTCCTATCCAATCAGAAACCCATCCTAGAGAAGAAAGGCAACTGGAGTCCTAATTCATTCTACTTAATACTAATGATTTATGACTGAATTCAGGGCTATGCCACGTTTCTGAGTGTTTGCTCTATAACAAGGATTAAAAAACACATACAAGCTATTTTAGTAGGACTGAAAGACATGAACTGGCAAGTCCTTTCATCAGTGAGGTCTCCAGACAGAAAAACAGGAATAGTTTCATCTCAAGTGAGCAGGCATTTCTACCAATATGCTAGCAGAGTGATTTGATACTGGAGAGAAAGCAAAGAACCTTACATTGGCTGCAGCTTTAGCTGATGCTGAGGGAAAGTAATATTGCAAGATTCTCTGCATCATGCAGAGAATGAAACCAATTTTTCTTTCAATAACCAGGAATACTAATGGGAAAATAACCATCTTGAATCTAAACACAGGAATGAAGTTATTCAGCTTCCTTCTTTCGAAGATGGTTAAATCATTCTTTCTGTTTGGTATTGGAAGGGTATCTGCTCACAAATTCTTTGCCTCTGAGACAGTTCTGTGGCTCCCAAATACAGCAGAGACCATTTTTTTGTCAAATCAACGGCAAGACTGTTTCAGAGGAACACCTGTAAAGGGACATGTAATGGAAGCCTGCAGGAGGATAACCTAAAGAGACTCAAGTATTCCAGCAACAAACTCTAGCCCTCAGGATGTCTTTTGCAATCTGAAGAGTAAGGTGTTCCAAAAGCACTCCCAAGAGACAGCAAAACATGGCAAAAGTAATTCTGGTACCTAGAGAGGAAAGTTCCTACTCAGGAGAGTTTGCTTACTTTTACATCCGTCTGCTTTAGTTGAGAACACGTGTGGAAAAGTGTCTTCTCTTTCCTGCCTCTTCACTGGTTGTATGTAAAGGTCTGTGCATTAATCTTAACATGTCTCTCCAAAGAAAATGAAAATTAGGATGCAACTGAAGCGCAAATTAGGAATCTGAATCTTCAAGAACTGTAATTCTAAACAACTTATACTTGTGACTACAAATTAATGGAGATTTAGAAAGTCCTGTAAAGCTGCTTTGATGAAGCACAGGACAGTGACTGACTCACAAGCTTAAACACAATAAAAACTATACAGTGGCCCTGGTAAATAAGTAGATTCATGATTAACCAGAACTGACAATAAAACTGAAAATGGGTGATCTCACAGCATTTTTCTGTCTGAAAGTCAACTTTCAGCATTGGTTACTGAGGAATTTTTTTTTATTTTGGGGAAAAAAAAAAAATAGAATATAAACCAAAAGTGTCAGAGGGGAATAAGAAGAATGCAAAACATTATTTAAACAGCCAAAACTGCATGGAACATGAGGTTATTTTGAATTTATTTTTATATATTTTGCAGAAGGAATTTATGACAGAAATGCAGAGCAGAAAATGTTAATAAGGAAAGACTGAAGACAAAATTTTGCACACATAAAATGTTAATTTTGCAAGCTGACATCAGTAGTGAGGAACTGCTTGGAAGACACAGAATGCAGTTTTACAGGACAGCGAAGTCAGCCAAATGGAAAGCAGCTGCAAGGCTGCCTCCTGACCACTTTTTGCCACCCCAGCACTATGGTGGCACAAGCACTTAGGTGGCTGCGGGATGAATCACATCTGTCTGGTACATACACAGTAAGTGGGTGACTGCATAAAATCTGCTAAATAGAATGAGGTGAAGGCATTACCCTTTTTTTTTTTTTTCAGCTACACTGTCAACTGAAAACACATCTAAGATGGTCCAAGCATCATCTGGCACCAACTGCCCTTTCATGATTGCAGCAAGACATAAAGGAAATGGAGAGCACATGCAGTTAATGGATATTATGCCAAGTCAAAATATCTCTTGCCTTGAATAGCTGCAATACAAATACCCACAATATGAGCCTACAGACAAAGATTTAAACAGTAATTTATATTGTTTTAATATGCTAAAAAGTATTTTTAAGAGCTGGGAAAAATGTAATTTTAAAAATTAAGTTCTTAATATGATTAAAATGTTCATGTGCCCATCAGATTATAAAATCTAAAGCCTGTGTGAATACCAGACAAGTATAGTATCTTAGAGCAATTTTTTAAGTCTCTGACATTGTTATGTTTATGATATACCTCTCTCTGAAACAACAACATTCACAGTGAACTGGTCACTTAGAAACATGAAGTTAACTCCGGCACACTGGAGACAAGGTCATGATGATGACTGAAATATTTCATCAGGTTGTTGTGGTATGTAACTAAATAGAAGTATAACCTGCTGTAACTAATTACAATGGTAATCAATTAACGTAGTTCATTACTGTACACATTTCAAGAATGCATTCACACTAGTTTTTAACATTTAACATTTTTACCTAAGGAATTTGTAAATTTAAAATACTAAATGAACACTTAATTCCCAATAAGGGATGCAGTAACACAGACCACACATTCCCTATGGACTCGCATGCAAGTGTAACTGAAGAATGTCACCTTATTATATTCTTCCCAAATGGCTCTCTATTCAATTGCTCCTTACTAAATACTATGACCACACCATAGCTACCTTTACGTAAACCTAACTAAAAGGAGAGAAAAAAAAGTTTGCACAGTGTATTAAAAAGCATATGAAACATCTGAACAATGTGAATGATTATGAACAGGTAACAAGATATTATAAATAGAAATGGCTTGCTACGAAAATCATGGCAGGCACTCTAAATGGTACCAAAAGACACAGCTTAAATAGCCAAAACAACTCTAACTTTTGGGCAGCTACAGTTTTAAACATACTACAAAAAGTAAAATAGTAAGTAAAAAGCTGTTTCTTTCAGTCTGAGTTTTTAATCTTCTCTGTGGAGTCTTTTTCATAGTTTATGAACTCAAAGGTCTTGGTTAGCTAGCCAATCCCCTCTTTCTTTCCTTCTCCTCCCATCAGCAGCTTGCTCAAGTCTCCTCTAACTGTGGACACTTCCCCCAGACCTAAACACACTTAAAAGCTATTGCAGCTCTGAAGTTATACATTAAATTACCTTTTATTTTATTGTTGAATACTTTCTTTAGCACTTCTCCAGTGGAAAAATGTAACTAGACAATATTATAAAGTGAAATTGTAGAAGGAAAAACAGACAGTAATACATTTTTCTCCTGGTCCTGGAGATGATTTGGTGTTCCATAACCTTGAAATTCTCAGACATGGCGTTAATAATTAACAGTGTATGGCCTGAATTCCACTGAAATGAATGGTAACATCCTATGGAGTACCAGAGTGTACAAAATTCAGTCTTTACTTAGAACTGGTATCCCACAACAGACAAGGACTATTTTTCCTACAAAGTACAACTTCTTAAAACAGAAACGAATTATACTGTCTCTGCAGACAGCTACAAATATACTCAGTAAAAACACTAAAAAATAAAAATTAACCCTCCAAAGGTTTACTTTGGGATGGGCCAACTTTTTAAAAAACTCATAGCATTATTTGCCTCTAAACCAGTGAAAGCCTCTAGAGATACAACATCCATACTCAATACAAGAAAATCCTCTTCAGACATGTTGTGAATACTGCAAGTTTATACAATGGCTACACACTTACCTTTTGTGCAGCAAGATGGAGAGCAGTTCTTCGGCTACGATCAGCTCTATTAACATTGGCTCCAGCCTTCAGCAATGCCTCTGCACAGTCCAGTCTGTCAGCCAATACACAGTACATGAGTGGAGTTCTTCCAAACTGGTCCTCTTTATCTTTCAGCTCAGAGTTTCCTGAAAAAATAAAAAAAAAAACAAAACCAACCCCCCCATTAAACAGTTAAGTCTATGAGTATCTAACTAATAGAAATTTTAATTCAAAGGGTATCTTATTATAAATGAAGGGGGTGATCAAAGTAGTGATAAAAAAAAGGAGTATACGATAACCTCAAAGTTACTAGTTTTTACCATATTTTTACTGATATTTATAGGACATTTCAAAATGTGTTTACAGAAAAAAGTATATTCGGAAAACATTAGTTCCACAAATACACCTACCACCAGTAACATTCTGCAGTGGCATAATTATAAATAATTTTAAAATAGTTATACAGATCTTGGCTGCAAAGGTTGCATGAAAAAAATATCAACAGCACATAAACCTAACAGTCCTTTTGAAACCTGTAAACATCATAACTAAAACAAGCTTTGAAGCCTACTTACAGCAATGTTTATTTAAAAAGCATAAACACGTCTATTACATCAGTACTATTATTTACTTCATAGTGCCTTACAATATGGAAACTACTAAAATACTTCTCAGGCTTTCTTGAATTGATAAGGTTAGTAAGGCAGAAATTAAACTAAGTAAGAAGTTTGAGGTCCCATTAAAAAAAAATAAAAAACCAAACCCAAAAAACAACCAAAACCCTATTCCTATTCACAGTCAAAAAAACCCACAAGCAAACCAGTATGCAGACTTCACTATAAAGTTCTGTATTTCTATTATGTCACCACAAAGAAACTAGCACCAATAAATTCATGGGCATCAACTATCCTACATATTCCAACTCTAAATATATCTCCCATATAGCAACAGTGTCTACAATTACTCAAGGAACATTGAACTTTAACAGGTAAATTATTTTTTCTTTTTAAATATTCCCTTGTTTGCATGATTGTTGATGCTTCAAAAGAACTCCAGCAGAAGCATGTTTCTCCTTTACAAACACAATCTTCACCTTCCCCCGGCATATTGTACTTATCTACATATCCAGTAATTTTATTCTTAATTATAATTTCTATTGTTTCACCCAGCAGAAGTGTCAAGCAGATTAAATGTGAATCAAGGGGAGTATCAAGAATTAAAATCCATTCCCTACCAACCAACTCTCACAAAACAGTTAAGCAGGATATTGCAAGTTAGAGTAGTCATTTGCTCATTCACCCCATTTCCGAGTTCCTTTAAAACTGTTGAGTGAATACCATGTCATTCTCATGATTCATTCTGTAACACCTTCTGTTGCTTAGAAATTGTGATTTGCACTGAGAAAACTCTTTCTGCTCTGCAAAAAAAAAAACAGTTTAAGAATCTTTCTGAACTCTTCTGTTAATGCAGATATAGAAAAAGTCTTTTTGTTCTTCACCCATGACCTTGTCTTCTCTGACTGTACCTTCACCTTGACAAAGCACTAGCTTCAGTGGATTGGTGTTTGAAGAACACCCTGCTTTTTAATACCCACCCTCACACTGCTGTTTAGACATGCTTGCTTCCCTTTGACGTTCCTAAACTTTTTCTTTTGTTAAGTACTTCTGCATTCATTTCGCATTGCAAGCAAGGAGTCTACTCTTCAGACACATCTTTAGGTTCTTTGTAGCAAGTGTTTTCATTTTAATGTCCTTCACCATATTTAAAGTACGCAACTATAGCTGGCTGCTCTTGCTCACCCACATATACTCGGGTCAAGAGTTACAAAATCTCAGTCCTACACGTGAGTTGAGAGCTACTCAAGAGCTGGTTCTGTTCTGAGTTCACCAAAATTTCTGCTCACAGACCATTAATGATTTCTAACACTTTAGTTTTAGGATCATATCCTCAATAGCCATTTACACAAAACACATGAAAGTAACCGTCATTATTATTTTATTTCATGTTAATTCAGATTCTCTGATCTCCCTTAGCACGTCACACATCTCACCATCTGGTCACATGAACAGTAATAAAATGTTAGTACTACCGTTTCTTATTTAGACCTGTAAATGCAATCATTAAGCATTTTTTGTGTGTGTTTAAGATTGATTTATATGGTTGTTTGTTAATCATGTTGGAATCCAAGACTTGTTTTCTGCTTTGGTTTTTAAATGGGTATCACTACTTCTCCACCTACACAGCTTTCACAGATATATCAGAATACAAAGTATACAAAAAAATATTGTCCACATCAATGCCTTCCTCTCCACAAATTTTACATTCTCACCATGCGACCAGCAGCCTCACTGAAAACATGACATCCTCATTTTTCTATCTAATTTTTTTAGACTTCTATGTATGTAGAAAAATGCATATGTTTGTTTTGGGTTTCTATGAAACTTGCACAGGTTTGAATAGGATGCTATCTTTTCCTACTGTATGACTACATAAATGAAGATACAAAATAGTTAACGATTCCACCTTCTGTAGATAAGCCACTGGAAACTGCACTTACCGTTGTCAGCTTTTCCTAATTTTTTCAATTAGAAACCTTCTTATAATGAGCATAACAGCTGAGTCTTGGATTTTTTTCAATAAATAAATGACCAAAGAACATTTTTATACAAAAGAAAAATCAAATAATAAACCAAAAAATAGAAAACTACATTTGTAAATTTACACAGGTGATTTTTTTTCTGTGTGGCTTTGCATAGAAACTGCATAAGATTCTGGTCTGAACTTTGCTTAGAATGGGAGAAGGTGAAGTATTGGATGCATCTTATTTATTATTCTTTGCAACAAAACAAAAGATATCAAAAAAGCTTAATTTTATGGTGGCATTTTTAAAAGTAATTTTTAAGACTTCAAGTAATTTGCAATGTTTCTAAAGGGGAGTTACAAGCTTGGCAAGTTGAAATATAATTGGATTATTATTTATTTCCTATTATATATAGCTACATTTTGATGTGAAAAAATAAAAAACCTTTTACTAACTTTCTTTTTACTAACACTATTTACATATTTCATACTGTTTTAAAATTCTAATTTTTACCAACAGTTTTTGAGAAAAAAGCTCACATATTGTCTTTAAATATTTATTTAACAGTCATTTTCATTATTGAAGACTAATTATTTCTGCTCAAAAGTACAAATAGTGATATTTACTAAGTGCATTAAAAAGCAGTATATATATATAAAAAAAAGTCACTTGTTTAATTAATACCATGGCCATTAGGAAATAATTAAGAATGTAACACGAGTTAAATGGGAATCAAAAATTTTTATTTTCCATAACTTGCAAAAACATTTGCGAGACTTTCATTTCACAGTATCAAAATTTAACTGCAAACTGGATGTGGTTTCAAGATAATTCTTTCCTCTACTATTAGAAAAAAGTATTTTAAAAGTTATATGTACATACTGTGAAGCCGTCAATGTCTTACATCTCGACATTTTAGCTAACAATAAATGCTTTTTCTGTTCAACAGAGCATAGTACAGAAACATCAAGCCAGTTATGAACAACCATACAGATACTGAGGTCCAAAGCATAATTTAACATGACACTGCTCCCAGTCAACAAGCCAGTTTCTCTAATTAGCTAAGTACAATCAGGTGCTCTTCCAATAGTAGTTCAGTCTGGTAATTTAGCCTTCACTAAACCATGTTTCACTGTTCAGTGTTAACAAGCCTCAATAGTGTCTTAAAAATATATGTGATTGTGCAATTCCCATCACTTTTAGTAAATTTAAGAAGAAATACATAAACATGTATTTCTCCCAATAAGACACATGCACACGGCTTACGCTCATATAACACTGGTTCTTAAATCAGCAGTGTGCAAAACTAGTCCCTCTCCCTCAAATTCCAAGTTCCCCTTCTGATATATAATGTTAGAGGATATTCAGAATGTAGAGACTAAAAGAAAGAAGCGGGTAAGGTCAAGACAAGCAAAAATGGCCTGAAGGTCAAGTACAACTCAAGTAGGCAGAGCAACAGACACCTGTTTTCATTTACAGCTCCCAAAGAGTGATGGAGCTGATGACTGAGTTTCCATGACTGCATAGAGTCTGAGTGAAAAATGAGCAAGACCTTCAAAACTTGATGCCAGTAATTGGCCTGAAGATGCTGCACTGGCTTTTAAGGCAAAGAAACTATCCTCAGCTAGCAGCAGGTTTCTTCTTGTTACTGTTTTGTACATTTCTTGTGGTTATTATTTTGTTTGCTTACAAGACCCTGTAAGGCCCTTAGAATGGTTAAAGTCCTGCGGGCATTTCCCTAAAAGGATGTCTCTGTACTCAGGCTAAGAGACAGGACAAGGACTAGGAGCTACTATATCACCATGAGGTGCTGAGGGGGACTAAGCTGCTAAAATTCACTAACCACAACGCCTTGTGGACTTCACAGTTGCAGTAAATTATTCTTTTCTGCAGTCAAGAAAGCACAGGTAGCCTTCGAAACATTCGCGTATTAGTGTATCTAAAATGTGCCATGGCAAAATTAAATTTTCTTCTACACATCTGCCTAAGAAAGGACACTTGTCTGATCGCTCTCCCTTTCAAGATCAACATCCTCATCCCATCATATTATGCATTACATAAGCTTGTTGGCAATGGAGGTCACAAACACCATGGAATCAAGTGGCCCAATTCCAAAATTTAACTCTCATATTTATCTCAACACTTCCTCACAGTCTGTGCAAGCAGTCACATCAGCCTCTAACATTTCTACACATTTTTCAAACCAGAAGAGAAGAAAGGCCAGGAGGAAGACATGAATTCTGCTTAATTATTAAGACAAACCACCTCTTGTTACTTGCAAGAATCCTGCCTTTTGTAATATGTGATTGGAGTTTTATTCAACCAACTATATTGCAGAACATGGAAGAGAGAAGCAGAGAGGAAAGTCAAACAAAACCATCCAACTGCATATTTGCAACCCAGAATGTATAGTTGACATTCACAATGAAATATCACATCAGAGGCTTAGAAGCTCATGTATGCAAGCAATACATGATAAGGGGTTTAGAATGAGGAGCTGGACTAAACAGACTTCAGTATGACTATTACACACATTATTGGGCTCTTATAAACAATTAAAACAATTAGATGCATCTTCCCAAAACTCTATATAAAAGCATTAAATGCAAAATGACTCTCCAAACATTAAGTTAACTTTTTCTTCCTTTTTACATCTGTATGATTAAATTCATATATAAAAACATACAGATGGGGTTTAACATGAAGAACTGTTAATTAAAGACATGTTCAGTATTGTATAAAACATAGAAAATAAAATACTGTGAGTATTCCCCAAAGCCTGAGATCATACAATTCTGAAACAATGTGATACAGTACTAGGCAACTCACACAGTGCAAACAATTAGCACACTTTTGTTAGAGCACTAGTCATACAATAAATACTTGGCATGTACTGTACTTTACGGCATTTAACCCATAGGCTGTTTGAAAAGTCCTGCAATAAAGCATCAGCAGTGGTTAACATAAAGGGACACTTTGTTCCAAAACCCACTTTCTCTATACAAATTTTCTACTTACCTTTGATTCTATTTATGCCTCTTATTGGCACAGGATGCCAAAAGGAACATAGTATCCAGAACGCACTGTATTATTTCAAACACCTGCTCCTTTAAAATCACAGGCTGTAGGGCGACAGATGCCCCCACACTCATGAATTATATGCAAATACAACATATATGTTTTTATACAGTCACTCAGGCTCCATCAAGCTACAGATGGGAAAAGGAATAATCACCAAGCAGGTTAGAGGCTGCTTTAAGACACTGTTTAACCAGCTTCTGTGTCCCTCCTATGTTAATAACTGAATAAGGAAAACTCAAAGAGGAAAGTAATAATGAAATTAGGAGTACAAAGCCCTCCCTAAAAGAAGGAGAAAGTCAGACTTCATGTTACTGCATATACTGCTAGCTACATAATCAAGATGCAAAGCTTGGCTGTGTTAGGAGAATGCTGTTAAGCGATATAGCACGCACACCCGTAACACTGAAGTACTGTCCTGAATTAGATGCCGCTGCTACGTGCAGTCATGAAGTTCAGTGAATAACACCAATTGCTCAATTTACTTCTGGCACCAAGTTATACTTTCAGCAGTGCCCGGTACATAGCTAACAATATGACTCTGATGCATTCTTCTTCTGCTAGGCAATACTTTTTTTTTGGTCCTGTCCTGGCAAAAGTAAGGTCTGTGTCATATCCTGTCAAAACACGACAAAGCAGAAAAGCCAAATTTTGCTATAAGCAAAGCCTGCAAGGATTATTAAGTTTTCTTTCCCATGTAAAAATAACACAAAGCATTTTTATTTTGTTGCTCCATGATTACCATTAAAAGAACAGTGATATCCTTATCTGGTTCTAAAAGCTGGTCTGTGGTACATTTGACAAGGTGTATCAGCAACACAGAAGTACTTGTTCCTTTATGTTTTTGAAACACATCTTTTGGCTGGGAGATTAACAAAACTGAACTAAAACTCAAGTTAGCAAAAACTATTTGCTATTGCTTCTGATTGTTAGCCAGAATTTGAAAGCTCAGACCTTTTTTCCCCCTCCACATTCAGAAGAAGGGGTTTTTTTAAAAAAAAAAACAAACAGGTATTTAAAACTACTTTGTAGTTGCATCCCACAGATTTCTAGAAGTATCTCTGTATCAACTGCTCATCTGTTTATAAAATGTCCTACAAAAGAGTGAACAGATAGCATTAAATGCAAACAATATATGTTTGAGCCAGCATATGACAAAATAAAGTTGAAGGCCCAACAAAAAATAATTTTTCAACCATGGGAGCTTCTATAAACTCAGTTCCTTCAAATTTTTTTCTCCTGAGTCACATCACTTCTAATCCTCTTTTGAGAGAATTAGGTAGACCTTGTAAAGAAGAACCATTTACTGCTTTCTATAGAGCTTAGAGAATAGATCCACACAGCTTACTATCTTGTCTTCAATACAGGTTAGCAGAAGATTCATAAAAGAAACTTGACTGTTGATTTAATGTGATCACCATTAAATCCTTTACACCTTTTAAAATTGACAGTTAATGGCATAAAAACAGGCTAAGTTTCATATTATTTCACAGTCCTTCACCCTTACCAAGCTCCAGGAATGGGATTTTCAAAATAGGCTTATCAAATAAAACTTCTACAGTATCAGCTGGAATTGCATTTAATCGGAAACTCTGAAAATCAAAGTTTCACATATCATATGACAGCCTTCCAAATGCGTGTAACGCAGTTTTGGAACACAGAACACATTCTGCTTTTGAAAACTACTAACCTGGCATGCCATACTGTTCTCAGACAGAGACGGAAAGAAAAATCCTGGGCTTTTTAATGGATAGGATTTTTTTTTACTTCAGCTTCGGTAGGATCAGACTCTTTCCTTACTTTTGTCTTGAGAAACACCATTAATGTGTCAGAATCAAAGTAACAAATAGGGCTGGTTCATTCCCTCCTCAAATACTATACAGTAACAAGACTTTAAACTATAATAAATGATCTGTAAAAACAAGTTTATTGTATCTCCCACAAAAGCAATTCCAACAATAAGGAACTGCAGCCAAAATATTTCAGCCCAAAACACTTCTCCAGAATTTCAAATTCCCTGAAACAGAAGCCCTGAATAACTCTTCTGGTAGTATCACTTATCAACTTTCTATTTTACTTCGCACAGAAATACCAATCAAAGGCAACAGGTAATAAAAAGTAAGAAAAAGCATATTTTTAGGACTACGTTTATTCTAGAAATACATATAATCAATAAATGAAAACATATCTTAAATATCAGAGCAGTCAGTCAAAAGCAAAAAGCTTCAGTTCTGAAGTAATTCAAATGCATCTACAATGAAAACATTTACCTGCTATTAGTTTTTGGAGGGTACTCTTATCTCCATTAACAGCAGCAGCATGCACTTCAGATGCTAACAAGGAACCACTGAAGAGGCAGTTTGCTGAAATATTCATACTCTTTCAAGGTATTACCATAGGTCAGATCTGCACCACCAACATTTTTTGTAGGAATTCAGTTCTAGAAGAACAAACCAAAAACAATAAAACAGAATGAACTTTATGAGTCATTAAAATGACTCAAACAATGCTAAAGAGAATAAACTATTCTGTTAAAAACAGAACAAACATGTTTCTTATTCCATGGATTAAATTTACCTCTAGCCAAAATTCAGCCAGAACATGTCTACATTAAAGAGATATATACATATTATAGTTTTGTTGCCTTCAACATTAATTTCAGCCATTGAGCTTTGCAGAAGTCTGCAAATAGGATAGTATTTATCTACAAATCCAACAGACTGTTCTTCAGAGTGTTGCTACATGCTTCAGTTCAGTAACCAATTAAGTTTGTTATCAAGTATCCACTTGACACACTCCTCCAGTACTTGATATCTGGTGGTATTTTACCACCATGGTCTAAGGACATATGTAGGACAAGGTTTATAAATTGAAGTAGTAGCTTTCACTTGACCAACTGGCATAACTGAAATAATCAGGTCAGCTTTCTAGATCATAAGTGTTCTTCAAACCTGAACAGAAGTGGGAAAACGTGTGTGTAAGAAAAGCCACAATGAATTAGACCATAAGTCTGGCTCTAAATCCTGTCTCAAACTAGCCAATGGTAGATGCCAAAGAACAGAGCAATATTTATTTATTTTTATCTTTTATATATATCTATAAATAATAATTATATATAAGAATATTATTTTGTCCCCCTCTTCCAAATACTCTCCCAACCTTATTTCTAGTTCAATCACTTCCTGAAGTGGACTTGGTTTCTGTGTATTTAGTACTCTGCAAATTCTGCTAATTTTTTCAATTCATTTACCTACTATAAATGTGTCCAGTTTCCTTTTGAGATTGGGCAAACTTGTAGCACCCACAATATCCACTGCCAAGAAGCTCCTTGCCACAACCAAACACTGTAAGGACAAACTGCTTGCTTTCATCTATCTTGTCCTGGCTCTTGCCATCTGAGGGCCCTTAATCCTTGTACTGGAAGGGACAGTAAATAAACAATTCTTATCCATCAGTAATTATTCTACAGATTTTTAACATATTCTCCCTGATCATATCTTCCTCTAGCTGAAAGAGTCATAGCTTACTTAACTGTTACCCAAGCAGCAGCTTTTCTGTATGCATGACCATTTTAACTACCCTTTTTTGGACCTTTTCACAGCTCTGTTCTAACCTTTTTGAGATGGACAGAGAATTCCACTAGTTATCCAATCTGTGGGCAAAACGGGGATTTATGCAGTGGTATAATGGCACTCTCTTCTTTCTTCACTATTTCCTTCCAAATCACGTCTACCACTACAGTTAGTTGCCTTCCTAGCCTCTTCTGAACTAGAACTGCTACCTTTGCTGAACTACCACTTCGTCAAGATCTTCATAATGATCAGCTCAGCTGATCTTCATAATGATCAGATCAGCTCATCTTCATAATGATCAGATCAGCTCACACACTATTTTGGAAATTAAGGAAGGCCTGCACACCTGAAAACTTCCTGATTTTTCTCCAAAAGTATCAAACATTTGAACATCTACTTTCAACTCTTACCACACTGCACATTTGGAATGGAAAACAAACTGAAGTAAGCAAACAATAATTGTAGACACCAGAAAAAAAAAAAAAAAGAGGAGGTATTGCTGGGGCTGTCTACTGAATTCTGGGAATTTTTCACCTCATCTTCCGTTCGGTTAAGCACAGTATCATCTAACTTTATCGCTCCTTAGAGAGCATGTGTAGTGGAAACATGCAATGGCTCACTATAACAATGCAAGCAATTTCCCCAAACTCAACTTTTGTCTTTTGTTTCAGGCACCCCCATAAAGTTATGTCAGAAATCACCCTAGTCACCCAACAACCAACTTGCCAACACCAAGCACATATGGCATTTGTACCTGTGTGAAGTGACCAGTTATTACAGCGCAATAGTTACTTGCTTCTGCACCAGCGCTGGTGCACTCCGTTGAGAATCCTGGTGCAGAAGTGTGAGGACGAGCTCCTCACATAAGCTTATAAAAGTATTTTTTCTCATGAATAGTTCTGGAGCCATTTCTGATCATGTGAAACTTAGGGAACAACTTGATCCTGTCCTACTCCTCTCCTCTTCGTCCATGAACCTCAGAATAACATGACAATGATGACGTTCACTATCTCTTGGAAGTCATGAATACTTCCATCCATACTGAATTTGATGAACCTCTCTACATTCCAGAAAAGCCATCAAACATTTTTTTGACCCACTTGTTTTACCACATAAGTAGGTGATCCTTCCCATAATCAGAAGTGTGTCATTAATGGATTCATGGCTTAGTTCACTTCTAGGAGGAGAGAACATAAAGGAGTTCAAAGTCTAATGTGACCGGAGGTTAACAACATTTCAACTTCTAGAGCCACAATACACCACAACAAATTACAGAAAAGCTCAACTTGACTTGGTGTTTAAGAAAGCCAAAGAAAATGCAGACGCATATATGACAACACAGGGTGGACAGAGCTTACGCAAGTCCAAACATACTTTAAGATATAAAGCATAATTGGTTTGATTTCAGTGTAACGGCCCTTCAAACATTCCCAGTGCTAACCATTGTTTTCTTTTAAGGAAGATAAAGAATATCCACATTGTTCAAAATACATGTACCATTCTCCACTTCCCAAGTATCCTCTGCTCCCTCAATAACACTGCTTTTTTGACTTTTTAGGACACCTAATTGATATGTTTCATTCAAAGCTAAACTTTTCCTCCCAGCCTAGTAGTATGGTTTATGCTGTTATCTTCTCTACATTATACTGGATAAAAGCAGATAAGGCATTTCCGACTGAGGCAAATCTGAAGAAACCAAAACAGACAACATGAAACTGAGTGTCAGTTACAAGTAGTCACAGTGCCTCCCCCTACTTTACCACTACTTTTTTTCTCCTCGGTTATTCCTACAGCTGTATAAATTTGCCTGCTATATGAAGGAAACTACACTACTCAACTGCAATCTGAACAAGAGGAAAGAAAGAGAAGGGGAAAGGCTGCAAAGGTGGATCATGTGCTACATGGTTTAACACGCACTTGGCATGCAAGACTACAGCAAGACTGAGCATATATATATTCTGTAAGGTCCAAAGTTGTACTTGAAGAGGATGAAGCACTGAATTTCAGGTATTCTTCCTTTCCGTATTTAGAAGCCAGGAAGCGACAAAAACTGCCTAAGAGTCAAGCGACGAAAACGAACGCTGACGTTCCACTTTAACCCTGTTACCGACCTGGCATTGCCCAACCCTCCCACCGGCCGCTCTGCCCCCTCACCCAGGCTGCGCTCCCCCGCCTCGCAAGCACGAAGCTGGTTCCCCAGCCCCAAGGACGAGAAGACCCCCCCGAACGCGCACAGCGCCCTGACACCCCTCACCCTCCCTACAGCCAAAACCCCCTTCTCGGTCCCGGCGGCCGAGGCGGGACCCCGCGACGCCAACATAAACGCGGGCAACCTTCCGCGGGGCGGGGACGGACGGACGGCTCGCCAAGGGGGCTGCCGCGCGCTTCCCGCCACCGCTGAGGGCTGGAAGCGACCCCTCCCCCTCCCGGACAGAGCGGGCCGCGGGCCCCCCGTAACGAGCCCCGGCGTCCGACGGGGAACAGGAGAGGCCGCGGTACCACCATGGCGGGAAGGGTTAAACACCCCCCCCCCCCCCCCCCCCCCCCCGCGCCAGGGCGGTGACAGCCGCCCCCGCTCCCCGGCGCTGCCACGGAGCCCCGTAACTCACCTCGGCCCCACCCGCCTCCCCCTCGCGCCGCCGCCGGGGCCCCGCCCCTGGCCGGCCGGGCCGTCCCGGGGCGTTCTGGGACGGCTCCTGCACCGCCTCCCGCCTCGCCCTCCCCGCGGCGGGGCCAGAACTACGCTTCCCGGCATGCCCCGCGCGGCGCCGGGCCCCGGAAGCGAGCGGCGGGGGCGGGGAGCGCGGGGCCCCGCGGTGGAACTTGCCCGGGTGTTTCCTGGCGACGGGGGAAGTGAGGAGCCGCCGCGGAGAGTGGGAGCCGCGTTTCTCCCCCTCCCGGGCGCCCGATCTACCATGAGACCCGCCATCCTCCCGCTCCTGCCTGACCCTGGCTGCCTCCTCCTCCTCCTGGTGAGCAGCCGGCTCCCCGCAGCCCTTCCCTCCTCCGCCGCCTCCCCGCCGCGGGGGAGCATCGGCCTTCGGGCTGGGCGGCGTGGGGGTGGCCGGCGGGCCCCGGAGCTCTTCCCTCCTGGCTGCCAGCGCCCTCCCGCTCGCCCCGCTTGTGCGCGCCGGGGACCTGCCTCGGGCCGGGGGGAGTCCCCCGGGGCCGGGGCCGCTCCGCCGACACCTGCTCGGCGGGGGAGGGGAGGCGAGCGGCGACTGCGGGAGCGGGCCCGGTTGGCGGAGCCCGGTGTTGTGGCCGAGGCTGATAGGCTGCGGACCCGGAACGGGCCGGCGGCGAGGCGGGGCCGGGCCCGGGCTCGGCGCTCACTGGGCCGAGACTCGGGGGGAGCCGCGGGGCCCGTGGCATCAGCCTGGCGGGCGGCGGGGCCTGGCCCCGGCACCTCCGCTGAGCAGCCCGGCGTCGCGCCTCACCCTTTTCAGGAACTGAAGAGGGAAAGCGAGGCGGGGGGGGGAAGGGGGGGGGAGCGGGCCCTGGCGCAGCGGGGCCGCGCAGCCCCTCGGGCGGTAGCGGGAGTCGCGGCCGCCGGGAGGGAACTGCCTGCGCGGTGCCGCCCCGGAGCCCGCTCGTCGCCCGCCTCTCGGTGCTCCCGCCCTCCAAGTGAGGGGAGCGGGTCCCCGGGTCCCCCGGCCCGAGCGAGCACGGCGCCGTTGGGGCGCTCTTCCCGTCAGCCCGCCTGCGGGGAAGTAGCCCCGTCCGAGCGCCGGGGCCGAAGCTGGGAGAAGTTCCCGATCTGTCTTGCACCGTCGTCACATTTATCTTTAGTTGCCAGACTGCAGCATTATTTTTTTTAGGCTGGTGTTATATGTGTGACCTAAGCCACCTTCTGCCTTTGCACGCCCAGAAACTCAATCACTGATGTGTGTTTTGTGGAGATAAGTTGACTGTGTTCTAATTTATCAAATTTTGGGTTTGGTTTTTTTTTTTTTTTTTTTTTAACAGGCTAATACAGTGATTCTTACTTTTCCAGAATTGTATTGGGCCAGATTCTGGGCCTTTCATAGCATAAGTGACTTGCAGAGCTAAAGGGGAGTTGTGTGAACAAGTTTAATAAGATTTGGTCTTAAGATACTAATGTGCTTAATCAATCAGTTTGAAACATTTGGGAGAGTAAAGGTGTCCAGCAAATGAAGGAGCAATTGGAGGTAAAGGTAGACAGAGCTCTGGGAATCTAAAGGGAAGTACATAGTAATTAATTCATCAGTAGCTGTATTACTATATAAATGTGAGGACAAATACTTACTGAACAGAACAAGCACTTGTTATCCCTTTGAAATCTGTGCTTCTACCCAGATATGCTCTGGTTAAATTACTATAAACTTGCCGTAGTTCCGCAGTTAGTAAATACACATGATTGGTAGGGTTTGAAAAAACACGTTATATATAGATGACTATTTATAGCGTGCTAGCTCACTATACGAGAGACTCAAGTGAAGAAGCTAGTGTTTTCCAGCCACATCTGTGCATTAAAACAAGAATGTTGCTTATGCGCTAGGTTGGTTTTTACCATTGTTTTAAGTACAGACTCCAGCGAGCAAAACCAAGGAGTGTGTACTGGTTTAAAATGCCATTTAAATAAGCACGTACAAGTTTGAAAAAATGGACACGAGTTAATGAAAGCTTTTTTTTTCTTCATGGTACAGTTGATCAATGCGAATTTAATATCCATCAGGTAGATCTATGTGCCAACTACAACAGAGAAAATGGCTAAGAGCTGAAATCTCTCCATGTTTTAGTTGCTGTTTCTTTGTTTACAGGTCACCTAAAGCAATTTCTAATGTGATTAAAAAGAATTGCATACATAAAATCTCAAGAAGAATACAGGTCAGAGTTGTTTTTTAAAAAAATAAAATGTATGATGTTATCTGTGTAATTCTTCAGCATTGTATCAAACATGGCCCCGTGTTATAAGGTGCCTAGTTACATATTTGGATCAAGCCAATGAATCATTTCTTTTAGTGGATATGTTGAGAGTTTTGGAAAAGTTGTCCTGAGCACAATGGGAGTAGGAGAGATCCTTTTTATTTTAAATAGCTGAAAAGCTCTTTTACAAAGTATGGCATCTATTTTATCGTGGCATTCAGAGAATCTGGTAGGGTGTACCAGTATCACGTCTCAATTTCTTGGGACAACTCAAGATTCACTGATTCCTGGTCAGGATTAAG